CAAGTTGTTATTGGCCGTCCGTGTGCTCATCCACTCACCTTCCCATAATGTCTGAGCAAGTGAGTTCATTAATTTTCAAAAATCCAAAACCTCATGCTGTTTTAACTATGAGTTTGATAAGATTTAAAAAGGAGACCTTCGGAGCTTATTTTAAGAGAGAGGTTCTTTTACCTTAGTGTCATAAAAATGCTGAGGGTAATGTTGGGCCAATGCTTCAGAATCGTCACCTGCTACTAGGTTATTTAGAAAGCCTAGTTCTTATATCTCGTCAGCTATACATCTTTGTAAGTGGCGGTCATTGCAGCTGGGTAATTAGCGGAAAATGCAATGGCGTGAATTTTGAATTTGAAACCGGAGTTCCTATAATTTCATTTAAAAGCTTAACCATGCAAGTCCAAACTAAGCGCATAAATAGAAGCAATTTAAGTCGGCCACGGCCGGACACACGCCCTCGGCATCGCACACCATCCGGTTTTGCGTGGGAGTAGGCGTGTCGCGGCCACCATCCAAAACCGTAATCGGGTCAAGAGCCCTCACGTTGCTAGCCGTCCACCTATATAAATATAAGCCGCGCACTTCTGAAGAGGATCATCGGCACCAGCCAATTGTATGCTTATGTGACGCTTCTTCATGTGTCAATTATGTTGTTGGTCTTTTCCAGTTGCGACCATTTGCGAGCTATGGATGTAGTTTTAGGATGATGAGGCTTTTGTTAGCCCTCTTGCTGCCAAGCTGTACTCTCGCGAAGACTGTGATGATTACTGTACGGGAAAATTTCACGCAATCGTGTCCAAACGGTACGCACAAAAATCAATATATCGATTTTGAGATTTAAAACAATCATGGGCTATTTTTACTGATTTCAGTGAAATCAGACATTATTGATCGCTCATCGGTAAAATTCAGTTTTGAAATGATTCCCAATGAAGACGACGAGAACGAAGATGACGAAGTGGAAAGGGACCAGGTAGGTTTGCCTTACCTTAGTAATTGGTAGTATTAATTTTGCTATTCTAAGGTTATCCTCACCGATCTCAACGGTCAGTCACGGTCAATATCATTTCCCGGATGCTATCGTGTCAAACTTTCCTTCAAAATGAATCGACCTATTGAAAATCCGTAGGTTTTTTAGTGTTCAGAAAATCAGTATCTTCTACCATTACCCATTTGATTTAGGTATATCGAAGCCTTCTTACAACTTGGACAAAACATACCCTGCCGTTCTGAAGGACGCACTCTGGTCTCGAACATTTGTACAAATATTACAAAAACAAACTGGTGCCCGCAAAGTGGAAATGAAGAGCTTAGACGAATGCTCGCTAATAAGGAAAGCTGGTGAG